GTGTCCACTAAAAAATTGGTGCATAAATAGTTCTTGCACTTGGCTTTTATCGTTAAGTTTCTGGTATTTCTGTAACTTTTTTTAGTTTGTAACTATCACGACTTGTTAGAAGTGGGTCTTTTTTTTGGGTTGTTGTCCTAAAACTTATTATTTTTTTTTCGCATTTTTTAAAGCTCTACTATAGGACAGTTAGTTGTCGTATAGGTAAAATAGAAACGCTTATGTGAATTAATTACGTGTTGTAACGTATTAAAAGCATTTTCAAACCTTGCGATCAGCCTTTCGTTGTCTTCAAATCCTTCAAAAACCTCAATTACATCTTCTTCAAGATAGGTATTGTCAAAATTGTAAAAGAGATCTGTTTCATTGAACACGACAACAATCAACTCGTCGACTTTAACGACTAATTTGAAATAACAGGCTGAATCGCCAACGTGATAATTAGATGGGTAACCAGGAGATTGAAGCTGAAAAAAAAATATAGTTTTAATTAGGTATATTGACTGATGTAAACTCTTCTTAGTAAAATATTTAAAGGGAAAAAAACTTAGGCTTTACCACACCGCCATCGAGTAATGGTTCAGCATTAGCAGCGGGGCACTGCATGTTTAGATAGGCTGAAATTTGCTTGTTAGTTGATAGAAACTTATTAAAAACAGAGGTTTTTTTGGGTAATATTGTTGAACAACTTGCGGCTCTGGTTTAGCCTGATGGCTCCATCACGCTGATTGGCTGTAAATGGTACACTTTTCTTTGTAGGCCGTTTCCACTGCAGTGGAGAAAAAAGATAGGGCCAACAAACTAAACCAGAGCTCAACTTGCATAGTCGCTGATATTTTAAAGTTGTTAAGATTCATTAAATAAAATTTTAGGAAGTGATAGCTAGGAGCAGTTAGGAAAAATTGGCCCTATTTTTAATTTATGAGTTTATCTGTTTATTAAGGGGTTTTTTTGTTTCAATTTTATCGGGCTTATTTGCATTTATCGGGCTTATTTGCATTTTGCATTCAATAAGCTGACCACTGTCTAGGAAATTTTAACATGCGCTTGTCATTCTACAGTTTTAATAAATTTTTTTACAAAATGTAAAATGCATTTACTTGTTATTTCTTTCTGGCATACCCATCTATATTTTCTTTCGCAAACGGCGTTTTCCCAAACACCATCGTTAACTCTGACACAACTTCCAAAGTATGGATGCCATTTAGAAAAATCGACACCTAAAAAAATGGCGGCTACTGTAATTTTGAAGAAGGCGTAAAATTAGTCTTTTTGTAACATTTCTCTGTTTTCAAATGAAGTTTAAGTTGAAGTACTTACGTAACTTATCAAAATTAATTGTTGTATTGTCAGACCAATAGAATTGCTCTTTGCCACTGTCATAACGCATACCAATGAGGAAGTTATTCGTCTGATTTTTCAAGAACTTATAAACCTGTAAATAAACAATAAAAAAAAAAA